CCTGTCTCAAAAAAAAAAAAAAAAAAAGAAAAGGAAAAAGAAGTAAATAACATCTGTACATCTGAAGATACAAGTCCAGTAATTCAAAGTCAGCTTGGTATAGAGGCACACACCCTTAACTTAAATCCCAGTACATGGAAGGCAGAGGCAGGCATATGGCTTCAAGTCTGAGGCCAACCGGGTCTACATAGCCAGTTCAAGGCCAGTGAGAGCTACATATTGAGACCTTGTTTCAGATAAAAAGACAGTAATGGATTATAATTATATTCACCCTAAAAATAAGAATAAGGGCTAGAAGTTTAGCTCAGTGGTACAGCATTTGTTCCATCCCAGCACCACAATCAACCAATCAATCAATGATAATCTATTAAGATCACATTGATAATAAAAAATTAAAGAAGGCAAAGTTCTTTCTTACAATTGGTTTTTTTTGGTCTTTTTGAGACAGGGTCTCCCTGTAGCCCCAGCTGTCCTGGAACTCGCTATGTAGACCAGGCTGGCCTTGAACTCACAGGGATCTGCCTGCCTCTGCCTCTCGAGTGCTGGGATTAAAGGCTTGCGCCACCATGCCTGGCCTTTCTTACAATTGTTAAAAGGAAAATTCCTTGGACCAATTAAATTTAGTAGAATTCATTTGAGGAAAGAAAACCAAAACAACAACAACAACAAAAACTGATTTTGGAGGTGGGGCGTGGTAGTGCTTGCCTGTAGTCCCAGCACTTGGGAGGCAGAGGCAGGCGGATCTCTGTGAGTTCAAGGCCAGCCTGGTCTACATAGTGAGTTCCAGGTCAGCTGGGGCTACAGGGAGACGGTCTCAAAAAGACCCCCCCAAAAAAAAATTGTTTGGGAACCTGGCAGCACCTAGGCCAAAATAAGTTCTGAGAACTCCAGTAAGCTAACCACCGGTACAGAAGTACAGAAGCTGGGAAGGCAGCTCCTGCATTTGGGAGGTAGAGGTAGCAGGATCCAGAAAGGTCAGTCTCTGCTACATAGCAAGTTTGAAACCAGACTGGGCTACATAAAACTCTGCCTCAACAAAACAAAACAAAACCCTCAAACCAATGGCTGCTTATAAAATTTTATTAATCCAACAGAATGCCAACTAAGTAAATGGAGAAAGAATATAGGTTTACAAATCATCATTTTTACAACAAACAAAGTCTATTCGGGCAAGGAGCTTTGTTTGGTTTGGTTTTGGGGGGACAGGGTCTCACTTTGTAGCCCAGACTGGCCTCCAGACTTGCAATTCTCCTGCCTCACCCTGTGGAATAGGATTATACATGTTCAAAACCACATCCAGTTCAGGCAAGAACCATAAATGGCTAAGTAGCTCCTAGTTTGATAAAAATTAGGTATTTTCAAACTATCTCCCTATAAATTACTTACTAATTACAAAAGTTAACTTACATGATAAAAAACAAACCTGGTCGATACCACTGAACTGTGTGACTAGAGTTGCTATCATTAATATGGAGAAAACCAATACCATGTGTGCTCTGGGGCAATGTACTACTAAGAAGTTTTACATCTGTGGTATTCTTTTTCTTTTTTTTTTTTTGCAGGGTCTCATAGCTCAGGTTGGCATTAAACTCTTTATGTACCTGAGCCTGGCCTTGAACTCCTGATCTTCCTGTCTCAGCCTTCCAAGTATTAGGCTACCAGAGACTGGCTCAAAAAGCCTAAATAAATAAATAATCCTAAAGGCAATCCTAGACCAGAAAAGAAATTTTATATATACATATATATATATATATATATAATTTTTTTTTTGGTCTTTTTGAGACAGGGTCTCCCTGTAGCCCAAGCATGGCTCAGTGGTTAAGAGCACTGACTGCTCTTGCAGAGGTCCCCGTTCGATTCCCAGCACCTACATGGCAGCTACAAACTGTCCTTAACTCCAGTTCCAGGGGAATCTGAAGTTGTCTTCTGACCTCTGTGGCATTGCACGACACGGGTGCACTCACATATGTGCAGGCAATACACTCATACACATAAATAAAATATTTTAAAAAAGAATGCTTAATGCAGAGGTCAGAAGAGGGCATTGGATTACCCTGGAACTGGAGTTAAGGACAGTTCTTAGCCGCCATGTGGGTGCTGGGAATCAAACCCAGGTCCTCTGCAAGAGCAGTCAGTGCTTTTAACTGCTGAGCCATCTCTCCAGCCCCATATATCTAATTTTTTTTTTGTCTTTTTGAGACAGGGTCTCCCTGTAGCCCCAGCTGTCCTGGAACTCACTATGTAGACCAGGCTTGCCTCAAACTCACAAAGATCCACCTGCCTCTGCCTCCCAAGTGCTGGGATTAAAGGTGTGCTCCACCATGCCCGGCTATATATCTAATTTTTAAAAAGAAATGTCTGGGGATGGTGGCTCACGCCTTTAATCCCAGTACTCAGAAGACAGAGGCAGAAGGATCTCTCTGAGTTCAAGTCCAGCCTGGTCTACATAGAGAGCTCTAGGCCAACTGGGGCTACAGGAAGACTCTGTCTCAAAAAGAACAAAAAATAAATAAATATATATTATATATTATATATATATTAAGAACATTGCTGGAGCAACTGGTGAAATTTAAGTAAGATCTATATATTAAATATAGTATCAAGTCAGTGTTAAATTTTTTGATTTCTGGGCCTGGAGAGATGGCTCAATGGTTAAGAGCACTTGCTATTTAATCATATAAGGATCAGAGTTCTGATCCTAGCACCCATCCCATAAATAAAATATATAACACATAAATAAAATAAATCTTTTTGAAAAATTCTGGTTTCTGGGTTGGAGAGATGGCTCGGCAGTCAAGAGCATTGACTGCTCTTGCAGAGGACTGGGGTTAGGATCCCAGCACCCACATGCCAGCTAACAACTTCAGTTCCAGGGGAATTTGACGTCTTCTTCTCATCTCCTTGGCCATTGCAGGACAGGGGTGCACTTACATACATGCAGGCGATATACTCAAACACACAAACAAAATTTTAAGATATATATATATATATTGACTCAGTGGGTAGAGCGTCTTGCTTGCCTAATGACCTACTGAGTTCTATCTCTGAGACCTATGGTGGAAAGAAAGAACTAACTCCCAGATGTTGTCCTGTGACCACCACACTAGTGCCACAGCATACGTACACATACAAAATAAATAAATAAAATGTAATAAAAGTTTAATAGTGTCAGATGTGATGGTGCAAGCCTTTAATCTCTGTGAGATCCAGGCCAATCTGATCTACAGAGTGAGCTCCAGACCAGCTGGGGTTAAAGGGAGACCCTGTCTCAAAAAAAAAAAAAATTTTTTTTTGTTTTGTGGGTTTTTTTTTTTTTTTCCAATCTTTTTGAGACAGGGTCTCCCTGTAGCCCCAGCTGGAACTCACTGTGTAGACCAGGCTGGCCTCAAACTCAGAGATCCACCTACCTCTGCCTCCAGAGTGCTGGGATTAAAGGCGTGTGCCATCACGCCCAGCATGTTTTGTGGGGTTTTTTATTTTGTTTTGAGAAGTAATGGCCTGGCCTCCCAACACTGGAAAAGAGGGAGAGACGGAGAGACGGAGAGAAGGGGGGGGGAAGAAGAGAAATCAGGATTTTTCTGTAAATTTGAAATTCAAAACAAAATTTTAAAAATCAAATTAGGGGCTGGAGATATGGCTCAGTGGTTAAGAGGACTTAAGTGCTCTTGCAGAGGATCCAGGTTTGATTCCCAGCACCCACATGATGGCTAACAACTCCATAGCTCCAGTTCCAGGGGATCTGACGCCTTCTTCTTACCTCCTCGGGCATTGCAGGACACAGGTTCACTCACATACATTAATGTAATACACTGATACACATAAAATAAAAATAATAAATTAAAAAAATTTTTTGGTCTTTTTAAGACAGGGTCTCCCTCTAGTCCCAGTTGGACTAGAACTCACTATATAGACCAGGCTGGCCTTGAACTCACAGAGATTTGCCTGCCTCTGCCTCCAGAGGGCTGGAATTAAAGACCTGAGCCACCACACCTGGCTGAAATATTTTTTAAAAAACAAACAAAAAACAACTCACTTTTTTTTTGGGGGGGTGTCTTTTTTGAGACAGGGTCTCCCTGTAGCCCCAGCTGACCTGGAACTCGAAATGGAACCAGGCTGGCTTTGAACTTACAGAGATCCACCTGCCTCTGCTTCCCAAGTGCCTGGCAAAACTCATTTTCATTAAAAATCAAATTAGCTAGGTGTGGTGGAGCACACCTTTAATCTTGGCACTCAGGAGGTAGAGACAGGTGGATCTCTGAGAGATCCAGACCAGCCTGGTCCTCATATCAAGTTGCAAGCTAGCTGGGACTACAGAAAGAAACCAAAAAAGAAAAAAAAAAAAATTAAAATCACTACATGAGGTTTGCGCACATGTATGGGATTCATTCCTTCTGGACACCTGACTGGTTATTATATTTATCTTTATTTTTATTATTCAGTTTTTTGGTCTTCCTGCAACTTTCAATCAGTGATCCACCTGCCTCAGGCTCCTGAGTGCTAAAGGTTCCCAAAGGGACATTCATTACTTTTATTTTTTTGTAAGTCAGAGGACAACCTTTCGCCTTTCGCCTTCCCTTAATGCCTTCCGTTAATACGGGTCAGGTTTGGCTTAGGTTCTTAAGGTCTTCTTCCCCACACAACTCACCATGTAACTGAGGACGACCTTGAACTTGAGGTCGTCCAAGGTGGAGCAGCTGGCACCGCCCAGCAGGTTTCAGGCGGTGCTGGGACTTGAACCTCCGGATTCCTTCTTGCCAGGCAGGCGTGCTGTAGAGGAGCCACCTAGGCAGCTCGAGGCCCGTGCTTCTCTGCACGCGGTAGATTCCCCGGGCGGCTGGGCGCGCCAGGAGGGGCGCTGCTCCACAGAGGGGCACTGCAAGCAGAGTGGCCCCAAGGCGCACGAGCCCCACAGGGAATACGAGAGGAAGCACCTCCCACCCGCGAGTCCCGGGACGCCCCCAGCCTGCGCCACGCGAGTCCGTCACTCCCTAAAGGTGGACCTCACAGTCCAGGACCCCGACTTCTGGGGCAGCCTCCATGGCCAGGTCCCGGGCTTGCTGGACTGGGACATGGGCAATGAGTGCTTCCTGGCCTTCACCACGGACCACCTGCTGCCCCCGGAGCAGAACCGTGAGTGGGGTGGGAGAGGGGCGAGTGGGATCGTGGGGAGGGGGGGTGGCCGCGCAGTGGGCCTCTGTGACCGTGGCTGTGGCCCCTGTGCCTCCTGCTCCCCAGCCTCACCACACAAGACAGGCACGTTTCCGGGGTGCCCTAAGCCGAGCTCACAGCCCGTGTGCACCGTGCACCCGGCAAGCACACGCAGGAGTGGAAGTGGTCGCCTCAGCTGGAAGGTCCAGAGCAGCCAGGCCCCCCACCCCAACTCCCAGAACCCTCCAGGCCTCTTCTGAGCCATTTGGCATTCTGTAGTTTTCTGTCTAAAGTAATCTTATCAGTCCTCCTAAGGGCGGTATCCTGGCCTCTGTTTGTTGCTTGTTTACATTTTTGTTTGGGCTTGCTTGGTAGCCCAGGCTGGCCTCAAATTCAATGCAGTTGTCCTGTCTCAGCCTCTTGTGGGCTGTGATTACCGGTAGGCCATCTCACCACCTTTTCTAGGAGGTCCCAGGTAGTATTTGCCGAATGGGTGGTTGACCATCATATTCGTCAAGTTTCTTCTCAGTGAACCTCAGTGTAGTCACTAGGGTGCTTACTCCTGCATTTGAACTACTTTTTTGCACCCTCAAGCAAGGCCTTTGCGCTATCACTTCTGACCGCCGTTCAGTCAATCACATCCATCATCTCCACTTCCAAATACAAACTTCTCTATGCCCTGGAAGCTGAGACAGGAAGAGTGAGCCCCGGCGTTCCAGGCCAGCCCAGACACCAGAGGCAGTCCAGGTCTTAGAAAACCAAGAAAAGAAATTGGTAGAGCTGGGGCCCACGCCTTTAGTCCCAGCACTAGGGAGGCAGAGGCAGGCAGATTTCTGTGAGATCGAGGCTAGACTGGTCAACACTGTGAGTTCCAGGTCACCTGAGGCTACAGGGAAACCCTGTCTCAAAAAGACCAAAAAGAAAAAAAAAAAAAAGAAAAAAAAAAAACAGCAAAAATTAGTAGATGACTCCTGATTGGAAGGATAAAATTGTCTTGTTCTGAGATGGGAAGGCTGTTTTGAAGAAAGGTTTAGGGAGGAAGATCAGCAATTGTGAGCCAAATGCACTGACTTGAAGTTAGTTGTCCAAGTAGAAATGTTGAGTAGACAGACATGGGGGGAGAGGTGTGAATTGCAGATATAATTGTTTTGTTTATTTGTAACAGGGTCTCCCTGTAGCCCCAGCTGGCCCAGAACTCACTATGTAGACCAGGCTGGCCTGAATCTCACAGAGATCTGCCTGCCTCTGCCTCCCAAGCGCTGGGAATAAAAATATGTACCACCACAACCAGCTTTCTAAACAAATTATTAATTTTTATGTGTATGAATGTTTTTCCTGCATGTAAGTCCTCCTGTGCATACAATGTCTACAGAGGCTAGAAGAACGTGTCAGACCCCTGGAACTGGAGTTACAAATAGTTATTAGCAGCTGTGTGGGTTCTGGGAACTGAACCTGGATTTGCTGCACTAGCTTTTAACCACTGTGCCATCTCTCCAGCCTGCAAATATAAATTTTGGGATTCTTTGGTATATAAACAGAATTTAAGGAGTGATAATAGATGGACCAAGGCTGAACCTTTGGGAACATTCCATTGTGAAGACTTAAAGAAGAGATAACTGTCCCAAAAAAGACCACAGAAAATCAAAACCTTAGGATGGTGCAGTGCTGGAACCCTGGTGTTCAAGGTGTTTCAAGGACAGAGATTGGGTCATCCCTGGCTACACAGGGAGTTCAGGGTCAGCTTGAGCTATAGACCCTGTCTCAAAAAAAAAAAAAAAAAGCTGGGCGTGGTGGTGCACACCTTTAAACCTAACACTTGGGAGGCAGAGGCAGGCAGATCTCTGTGAGTTGGAGGCCAGTCTGGTCTACAAAGCAAGTTCCAGGCCAGTTGGGGCTACAGGGAGACCCTTTTGTCAAAAAGACAAAAGAATGGTTGGAGAAGTGGAGAAGGGGGATAACAAATAGAGGGTAATGGAGTGAATCAAAGCACATTATATATGTATGTATGCTAATGCCATAAGAAAGCCTTTTGTCTTGACTTCTTTTTTGTTTTGAGACAGTTGCTATGTAGACTACTCTGGCCTCCAACTTGAGATCCTCCTCCCTCAACCTCTCTAATGCTTAGATTACAGATGCAAGCTACTAACAGCATCCCATGATCTTTTACAATTAATCATGCCAATAAAAATGTTTTTTAAAGGCTGGAAGGAAGGCTGGATGTGATAGCATATCCCCTCAGACTGAGTGACAGTGTCTCAAAAACTTTAAAAAAAAAAAAATTTAGATGGCTCTCACCAGGCAGCTCTGAATGGCTTGGAGCTTGACGCATTGACCAGGCTAGCCTGGAACTCACAGAGATCCACCTTCCCCTGCCTCCCAAGTGCTGGTACTAAAGGAGTGCCCAATACATCCAGTACCTCAAAAACTTTTTTTTTTCTTTTTGGCCTTTTTGAGATGGGGTCTCCCTGTAGCCCTAGCTGTCCTGGAACTCACTATGTAGACCAGGCTGACCTTGAACTCACAGAGATCTGCCTGCCTCTGCCTCCCAAGTGCCGGGACTAAAGGCGTGTACCACCACGCCTGGCTATATGCTTTTATATATAGCAAAGTTGCGGTAAAATAATTTTTACTTTCCATACTTAATCCATCTGCCTCAGACTCCCAAGTGCTGGGTTTACAAGCATGTACCAGTGCACCTGACCCAAGCTTGCTGTATTTTCCCTTTATCTCCTAGTCCTTTGTTGAACATTAGCAATGCTGGGTTCTTCAATAAGAGCACCATAATTTTTCAGCTGATAACCCAGATCTATAACAGCTTCTTAAAGTTTTTCTACTTGTGGGACTGGAGAGATGGCTCAGCAGTTAGGAGCACTGGCAGTTCTTGCAGAGGACCCAGGTTCAATTTCCAGCACCCACATGGCAGCAACCAACCAGCCTTAACTCCAGGTCCAGGAAATACAATGCCCTCTTCTGGTCTGTGTGGGCATTGTATGCATGTGGTGCACTTACATACATATGCATAACACTCCTACACATAAAAATAAATTTAAAAAATAAAAAAAATAAGGGCTGGTGAGATGACTCAGCAGGCAAAGATACCTGCTGCCAAGCCAGACAACCTGACTTCAATCCCCAGAACCCACATGGTAGAAGAAGACTCCTGAATCAACTCCTGAGAATTGTCCTCTGACTTCCACAAGTGCACCTTGGCACATATACTCCCACACATACACAACACAAATAAGTGTGATAAAATAAAAACAAAACAAATTAAAATAAAAGCATGTTTGTTTACAAACAGGAGATTTGGTACATATAATAAAAGCATTGAAATTCACAATATACAAAACTCAGATCTGGGCTGAGGTGTTTCAGGCAGAGCTCCTTGCTCATGTGATGACACATGCAACACAAAGTGCACATGTGTGGTCATAACCAGTGAGAGCACATGATGTAGCATGGGCAGGTGCTACCAGAAACACCTTGAGTTTCTTATGTTCTTGATTTTGAATTACTGTATATGTGTGTACATGGTGTGTGCATGTCTATGTGTACCCACCTTTTTAAAAATTATATAATTTTGGGGCTGGAGAGATGGCTCAGTGGTTAAGAGCACTGACTGCTCTTGCAGAGGACCGGGGTTTGATTCCCAGGACCCACATGGAGGCTATGAACCATCCTTAACTCCAGTTCCAGGGGATACTATTCTATGGATAATTGAAACCAAGACCAGAAATGCTAAGTGACTTGTCTAAGCTCACCTGGCTGGTATTCAATATCCTAGTTCTTGCAGTCAAGACCAGCATTGACGTAACTCCAGTTCCAGGGGATCTGACAGTCTCTTCTGTCTTCTGCAGGCAGTGCACTACATGGATGCACTTACATGCAGGCACACACATATAAATAAATAATAAATAAAATATTTTTTTAATTATATAATTTCATTGACCTGGAACTTGCCAAAGAGACTAGACTGTCTGGCCAGCAAGCCAAGTCCTAGGAATCTGCCTGTCTCTGCTCCCAGAACTGGGATTATAAGCATCTGTCACCATGTTTTTTTGTTGTTGGTGGTGGTGGTTTTTGTTTTTACTAGGTGCCAAGGATAGAACTCAGGTCCAAGTGCTTTGACTGGGCTAACTCAGCCCAAGAATTATTTTTTGGTCATTGTACATGCAGAAACCTTTTATTGTTGCCAAGATTTTTGCAACCCCCACATTCAACTGCATCACCCCACATGGGGTTGTAGCCTGAAGTTTAATAAGCTAGGGGTATATAATATGATATAATATGATGACACTTGTTGGCATGGTGGGAGCAGGAATAAGTCCTGTCCTGAACAACTGGGTGGTGCCATTTGCTAAGATGAGAAATACGAGAGAAAGAACAAGATGGGAATTGTTTTCCTTACATTTGTTTAGTTATATGTATGTGTGAGAGAGAGGGTGTATGGGGACACACATGCATGCTATCACAGATGTGTGGAGGCCAGAGGACAACTGGCAGGAGTCAGCTCTCTCCTTCTATCATGTTGGTTCCAGGGATTAAACTCCGGTTGTAGGCTTGGCAGCGAGTTCCTTTACCTATTAAGCCATCTTGCCAGTCCAAGAAAATGGAATATAGTTTTAGAATGTTGCTTGAAGCTGGACATAGTGTTGTATGCCTGAAATCCTGAGACTGAGGTGGATGGGAGAGTTTGAAGCCAACCTGGGATCCATAGTAAGACCTTGTTTTAGGGGAAGGGAACAGACAGGGGAGAGGAAGGGAGGGGTAGAAGGGAGAAGGGAAATGCTGAATTTGAACTGCTTACTGACAACCCGTGTGCTAGATAGCTTCAGTTGTCAACTTGACACACTTGGAAAGAGGGAACCTCAGTTGAGAAACTGCTTCTACCAGTTGGCCTGTGGACATGTGCTTGACTGTTGAGTGATGGGGGAGGGCCCAGCGCACTGTGGGCAGTGCTGCCCTCCCCCATCCCCACAGCGGGAAGGTGATCCTGGGTTGTGTCAGAAGGCAGACTAAGCACAGGCCAGAAGAACAAGCCAGTAAGCAGCTTTCTTCCATGGTCTCTGCTTCAGTTCCTGCCTCTAGGTTCCTACTCTGAGTTCTTGCCCTGGCTTCCCTCCATGATGGACTGATTGGGATGTGCAAGCCAAATGAACCCTTTCCTCCACAAGTTGGTTTTGGTCAGAGTGTTTTATCACAGCAATAGAAAGCTAGCTAGGACACGAAGTAACAAAGGGTAGTCTGCAGCTCCACTTAAGGGACTAGCAGAGAACTCTGGTCTATAGGTAAAGATTTGGAAGCTCTGTTTATAGATGGTGACTGATGGCCATTCGCTTGCATAAGATTGTTCAGTGATAGTTCTTGTGGAATGAGAGAAAGAAACACAGAGAATGAGAAAGTCAGAAGTGAAGGGAACCCCAATAGATACAGCCTCATACTCCCAGGTCAGGCCTACACCTGCTCCCAGAGATCTTCAAGGCCCAGGATCGTGGGATCACAGTGGAAATTCTAAAAAGTCTTGACTTTCTTTTTGTCAGTTGCCAAATACAGACTCCAAATAATTGACCCACCAAACCTACCTTTGGAAAAAAACCTCAGCACTGATAAAGATGGTAAGTAGTGAGTTCTGTGAACTTGGTTCTGTGCCCTGAGCTGGAAACCCAGGGCGTCCCAAAGCAGTGAGCTGTGGAAATACTGCTTTTGCTCTGCACAGGTCCAGACGTGGAGCCCAACCTGTGGATGTGGGTGAACCCTAACATCGTGTATCCACCCGGCAAGCTGGAGGTCTCGGGACCTAAGAAGGAGGAGGACCTGCCAAGCATGCCACCATCCTGTCAGCTACCTCTGAAGGAAGAAGCCAGGTGTTCGGAAGCTTTGGATATGCAGTTGCTGCTTCCTTCCTGGAGCGAGGAGTTGCTTCCACAGAAGCAGAAGTGGAAGCAGCAAGTTACCTCTTCCCCTAGCACCTGGGAGGAGGTAGGAATGGCTGGACTGTGAGCCAGCCTTGGGCAGTATTCAGGGGGGGCACAGGGCTGAAGCATTAGCTTTTGGATTTCTGAGGGCCAGTAGATCATCAGGTTTAGAAATGACCTGTTCCCTTGGGTTGGGGAAAAGCCCACATGGTAGTCATAGACTGCTCCCCGATCTGCCACTGTACCCTGGAGCTGAGGCCAAAGGAGTCAGGACCAGATCCTACCCTATGCCCCTCTAGCTTACAGAAGAGGAGGAGGCCAAGGACCAGGATGACAACTCCTCTGTGGCTCTCCCATCCCCTCCCACAAGGGCCCCCCTCCAGAGTCGGAGGCTTCAGCAAACCATCAGCCTAGAGGGGAGGCTCTGGTCCCGGCCCCCTCTCAATTACTTCCACCTAATTGCCCTGGCACTAAGAAACAGTCCCCCCTGTGGCCTCAACGTGCAGCAGATCTACAGCTTCACTCGGTATGTGCCCAGGGGCCCCTGTGAGAAGGGGAAAGGGGAGGGTCAGGATCTAATGTCTTCCAACATTCCCCTGGCCCTAGGCAGCTGACTCAGTTTCCCCATTTGGGTCTGAGGACACATGTAGGTACTTTTCCAGTTCTCTTTCCCCAGGCTAATACATGTTCCCCTACCCATGTCCAGGATCATAATCTCTCCCACCCCCTTTGACCTCTTAAAACTCAGCCCTCCCTCAAACACCAATCCACCTGGGTCAGGTAGCAGTATCTCCCACCCTGCCTCTCAAGATTAGCCAGAATGAAATCCAATTTCTCCACAATGTCTCCCACCTACCACTCCTACCTGACACAGCCAGGGAAGCCTCATTGAAGATTTTCATTTAGTGCTGTGTGTGTGATCACTGGGATTGAACCGGGGGCCTTACACAGGCTAAGCATGCATTCTCCCACTGAGCTACACCCCCAAGTCCTACATTTAGTTTTGATAGTCATATACATACGAGTTTTTTAGGCCTTTCCCCAGTATTGTGCAAAGACTTCAGTATCTTAGAATATTAATCCTGTAGAGGCTGATCTAGGTATTGGGTCTGTCTTGTTCCTGTTGTCAAAATCCAGAGCCCTTAGCCTGCTCTGAGGAGGCAGAGGCCTCTGTGGGATCAAGGCTAATCTGGTCTGCATAATGAGTTCCAAGCCATCTGGGGCTATAGGGAAACCCTGTCTCAATAAATAAATAATAAAATAAATAAATAAATCCCATGCCCCTCAAGGAAGGGAAGAAAATGAGCCTGGGGTTAGGGACAGTAATCTAAGTTTAGAAGGAGGGTTTTTTGTTTTTTGGGTTTTTTTTGTCTTTTTGAGACAGGGTCACCAGCTGTCCTGGAACTCACTATGTAGACCAGGCTGGCCTTGAACTCACAGAGATTCTCCTGCCTCTGCCTTCCCAAGTGCTGGGATTAAAAGTGTGCACCACCACGCCCGGCTAGAAGGAGGTTCTTAGACTGGCATGGTGGCACATACATGTAATCCCAGGACTCAGGGAGTAGAGGCAGGAGGATCAGGACTTCAAGGTCATCCTCAGCTACAATAGTGAATTCAAGGCTAGCCCGGGTTACAGAAGACATCAAAAAACCAAAAGGGAAAAAAAAGGTGTCTCATCACCAGTGCTCAGAAGAGTGTTCAGTCAGTAAAGGGAAATTCCAATAGTGAATTCAAGGCTAGCCTGGGTTACAGAAGACATGAAAAAACCAAAAGGGAAAAAAAAGGTGTCTCATCACCAGTGCCCATAAGAGTGTTCAGTCAGTAAAGGGAAATTCCAGACCAGCTTGTGTCTCTCCTCCCTGAAGGAAGTGCTGAGGCTTCTGACCCAGGAGGGTGACAGGGACTTGGGGCCTCTTTAGAGAAGCTGCACCTTTCCTGACCTTCCCTCCCTGTCTACAGACAGCACTTCCCCTTTTTCCGGACTGCCCCAGAAGGCTGGAAGAATACAGTCCGTCACAATCTCTGTTTCCGAGACAGCTTTGAGAAAGTGCCGGTCAGTATGCAGGGTGAGGCCAGTACAAGGCCTCGATCCTGCCTCTGGAAGTTGACTGAGGAGGGACACCGCCGCTTTGCGGAGGAGGCCCGTGCCTTGGCTTCCACTCGGCTGGAAAGTATCCAAGAGTGCATGAGCCAGCCAGGTGTGAAGCCTCATTGTACGTGGGCCCAAGGGTTGGGGGACCTAAGGTCCTGACCTCAGGCTGAGTGTGCCAGCCTGGGGAATACTCTGGGGACATCCGTAGGAATAGGGGAGACCCTTTGAGATGGTTTGAGACCCTTTGGTGATGCCTGCCTGAGGTGAGACCTCCCACAGGGAGTGGTACTTGATGGATAAGGAATAGGTAAAGAAACTACTGAAGTTGCAGCTGGCTCTGCTCACAGCCCAGCATCCTGGGGAAATGGCACCCATGCTGGGCAAGAAGTAAAGCTCTAGGGGTTATGTGCAAAGAGGAATTTTCCTGTAGCAGTTCAGGGAGACCTCTGAAGAAGTGGCAAGGGAGCCTTGAGTAAGAAGTAGATGCCCATGAGACAGTATACCAGACCTGTCAAATTTCAGTTAAAGAGTACAAGATCCTTTGAACTCCCCTTTTCTTACAGATGTGATGCCCTTCCTCTTTGACCTTTGAGAAGAATCAGCTATATCCTATTAAAGTTTCCTTCCTTCAGCAGCAACCTGTGTGTGTGTGGTCTCTGAGAATGGGGTCAATGAGGGAATGGAGTTCAGCTCCAGTGATGAAAACAGGGGTCCTCAGCTGGCAGGTGCTCCTGACCAGGCAGTTGCTTGCTGTCCAGTAAGGGGAGACCATGCCTTTCTTTCCTTAATGGAGGAAAATTTTCAACTCTTTTCAGGATCCTGGACAAATTCCATTTTTCTGGGGCATAAAAATCACCCTAGGAGATGCTAGCTTATAGCACCAGCCCTGGAAGTGCCACCCACCCCTGACATTTGCTAAGCAGCTGCTGCATTCCAGGTTCAGGACAGAAGATGGGTCCTGCCTCAGTTCCAATGGTATAAGGGCATGTGCTTAGGAAACAACAGAGAGGAAGGACTGTAGGAAAGGGTTAGGGAGGTAGGGAGAGGCAGTGTTCGGGTTAGGTTTTGTCAACGTGACACAAACTTAGAGTCACCTGAAAAAAAGGACCATCAACTGAGGAATTTCCCAGATCAGACTGACCTGTGGCCATGTCTGTGAGGTATTTTCTTAATTGCTGATTGATGTAGGAGAGCCCAGCCCACCGTGGGCAGTGCCATCCCTAAGCAAGTGGGCCTGGGCTGTATAAGAAAGGTGGCTGAGCAAGCCATTAAGCAACTTTCCTACCTTGACTTCTTGCCTTGGCTTCAATGATAAACTGATTGGGACTTGTAAGATCAAATAAACACTTTTCTCCGTAAATTGCAATTGGTCATGGTGTTTTTCACAGCAACAGAAAAGCAAACCAAGATAGGCAGTTCATCTTTTGTTTTGAGGGACAGTCTTGCTATGAGGGCAGGCTGGCCTTGAACTAAATACCTGTCTGCCTCAGTAGCTGGGATTATAGGTATGGAACTCACAGAGATCCACCTGCCTTGGCTTTCCAAGTGCTTGGATTAAAGGTGTGCAGCACCATGCCCAGTTTATGATCACATTTTTTAAAAAAAGAGTCACCTGTAGTCAGTCATAATGGTATCCACCTGTATTCTTAGCATTTCTGAGCTAAAGCCTGAAGGATCAGGAGTTCCAGGACATTCTTGGCTATGTAGTGAATTTGAGGCTGGTTTGCTCCACATAATACTTTGTCTCAAAACAGAAAAAAACTAAAGTTACTTAATTTTATCTGAACACTGGTCAGATTTTCCCTTTTTCTTAGCTTCTTAGCTAAAGTACTATGTAAAATAAAAATCTTCCTCCCGTTCTGAGTTTGGTTATCCTGAAGTGAGTTCCAGGACAGCTGGGGCTGTAGGGAGACCCTGACTCAAAACACCAAAAAAAAAAAAAAAAAAAAAAAAAAAATATTAGGAGAATGTAAAAGAGATACTATAAGTTTGGCAAAAATAGTCTGATAGCAACAATACAGGCAGGCTATAGATAAACTGTACTCAGTGTCAGTATAAGTAAAACTGGTTTAATCTCTATAAAATCTTAACTGGACCTGGTGCAGACATTTGGTCTCTGAATGTGAAATCAAAATGTTCACTCTGGGGGACTGGAGAGATGGCTCATCAGTTAAGATTCCCAGCACCACATGGTGGTTACGAACTGTCCAGGGGAATCTGAAGCCCTCTTCTGACCTCTGCGGCATTGCACAACACGGGTATGCTCACATACATGCAGGCAATATACTCATACACATAAAATAAAAATAATAAATATTAAAAAAAAAAAAGACAGGAGGACAATCAGCCATTGGAGGAAGGGTGAGAACTTGGAACCTGGGGCTTCTTTCCCTTCCTGTGGCATCTCTTAATGCACCTCTGGCAAAGGTAGGACACTTGTGGGATAACAGCCCTGGAAGGTGCAAATCACTGGACTGTGGCCTTCCTTGTTACCCAAGGCAGCTTCCAAGGTAGAGCAAATTGGCCCCTCAGTTCTGAGGGAATATGGAGAAGTCTGAGAACAAGCAAAGAAGAATGAGGAGCGGGCCAGATGGCCCTGCAGGCAAAGACATTCACTGCATAAACCTGAGTTCTATTCCCAGATTCCAAGATAGAAGGAAAGAACCGACTCTCTAAAATTGTTCCCTGACCACCACAAGTACCCTACGGAGTGTGTGTGTGTGCGCACGTGCGTATGTGTGTGTACACTAATAAAAGCTTAAAACAAAAAAGGAATAAAGCCAGGTGTGGTGACTCACCTCTGTAACTCCAATACTTTGTAGGCTGAGGCAGACAGATTGCTGAAAGTTCTAGGCCAGCCTGGGCTACAGAGTAAGACTGTCTCAGAAAAATCAAAGTGGATTGCTGGATGTGGTGGTACACATCTTTAATCTTAGCACTCAGGAGGCAGAAGCAGGCGGATCTCTTGAGATTGAGACCAGCCTGGACTAAATAGTGAGTTCTAGGCCAGCTGTGGCTACAGGGAGACCCTGTCTCAAAAAAACAAAACAAAAAGCTGGGAAGCTGGGTGTGGTGGCACACGGCTTTGTTCCCAGCACTTGGGAGGCAGAGACAGGTGGATCTCTGTGACTTTGAGGCCAGCTTGGTCTACATGGCAATTTCCAGGCTAGCCAGGACTATTAAGATCCTGGCTCTCAAAGGGCTAAAGATACTAAAGATATTCTCAGTTGGTAGAGTGCTTGCCTCACATGAACAAAGTCCTGGGTTTGATCTGAAACACTGCATATAATTGGAGCACTCTGGAGGTGGAGGCAGGAATATCACAAGTTCAAGGTTATCACAGCTGCATAGTGAATTTGAGGCCACCCTAAGATAGGAGACTGTCTTAAAAAAAACTTTAAAAAAAGGAGGGTGAGGGCTAGAGAGCTGGTTCTATGGTTAAGAGCACTGACTTCCCTTGCAGAGGACCCAGGTTCAATTCCCAGCACCCACATGGTAGCTAGCAACCATCTGTAATTCCAGTTCCGAGGATCCAATTCCCCCTCTAACCTCCTTGGGCATTGTATGACATGGGTACACTTACACACATGCAGGCAATGCACTCATACACATTAAAAAAAAAAAGAAAAATTGAAAAAAAAGTCTAGTGTGGTGGCACATGCCTTTATACCAGTACTCAGGAGGCAGAGGCAGGCGGATCTCTGTGAGTTCAAGGCCAGCCTGGTCTACATAGTGAGTTCCAGGATAGCTGGGGCTACAGGGAGACCCTGTCTCAAAAAGACCAAAAAAAAAAAAGTTTTTAAGGCTTATGAGGAGCCAAGACATTCAGGGCTCATCAGCAAAGCCCTGTCTCTCCCTGGACTGATTTGACTTCTCCCTCTCCTGCTTTTTCACCTGCTCAGAAACAGGGGTGGAACTCAAAAGCCGCCTTCCTGAGTGCTAGTCTCTGGAGGCTCCCTTAGGTGTGACTGTCCTCTAAGAATGGTTCCCATAAGGGGGCTCCCAGGTCTTGTATTAAAGTGGTCTCACTTTTTTATCTTTCCTCTGCCTTCCTTTCTGGTTGACTACTCTCTCTACCTCCTCATTCTAGAACCTACATTGGGTAAGGCCTCAGTGTACTGATCAGGAGAATGAGCTAGTGGGGACTCTTAGTAGCACACTGGGAAGGAATAGGACAAAGTACTGTGCTTAGTACTGAACTTGGTTGATTGTGGGACCTGGTAAATGGCAGCTACTTTACTATTCATTGTGACACTGAGATGGGAGTCTCCTTGCTGTTCCAGGCTGGTGGACTAATCATGGCCTGGATCTACTTTTAGTCCTGGACAACGCCTATTGGTAGCCTGGACCTAAGTGTTGCTTAGCAACATTTTTATTTTTTATCTTTGTCTCCCCTTTTGGCCATTTCAGTAAATAACCTATCCTGAATTGAGCTATGTCTTTGGCACAAGTTTTCCTAACATTTCTAAACCTGTTACCTTGCAAAATGGAGATAATGAAATAAAGCAGAGATTGGATTTGAGAACTAAATAAAATGAAAGGGCATTGTCTGGTGCACTAGCATTTATGGTTGCTTATCAGATCAGACATCAATCTTCATGGCTTGCAGATTTCATGCATCCTGACAACTTATGGAGTAGGGACTCTCTTTCCTTTTTGCTTGCTTGTTTAGGTTTTTGTGGTTTTGGTTTTTATTTGTTTTTGAGACAGGGTCCCTCTCTAGCCCCAGCTGGCCTGGAACTTGTTATACAAACAAGGCTGGCCTCAAACTCAGTTTGTAGCTGAGGATGACCTTGAATTCCTTCTCATCCTGCCTCTGCCTCCCACTGTGAGGATTGCAGGCATATGCGACCACACCCAGCTTATTTATTTATTTTTACTTTGTGTGTATGAGTGTCTTACCTGCATGAATGTAAGTGCACCAGGTACTTGCAATGTCGTGGAGGCAGAAGAGGGTATCGGATCCCCTCAATGGATATTAGCTCCCATATGGGCCTGGGAACCAAGTCCTGGGTCCTCTAGAAAAGCAGCCAGTTCTATTAACAGCTGAGCCATCTTCTCTCTCTCTCTTCCCTCCCCCTCTTTCTTTACTTCCTTTCTTCCTTTTTTTTTTCTGTCTTTTTGAAGCAGGGTCTCCCTGTAGCCCTAGCTATCCTGGAACTCACTATGTAGACCAGGCTGGCCTTGAACTCACAGAGATAAGCCTGCCTCTGCCTCACAAGTGCTGGGACTACAGGCGTGCGCCACCACATCCGGCTCCTTTCTTCCTTTTTAAGACAAGGTCTCCCTGTAGCACTAGCTGGTCTGGAACTCACTATGTAGACCAGACTGGCCACGAACGCACAGAGATCTGCCTGCCTCTGCCTTCTGAGTGCTGGGATTAAAAAGTTGCACCACCATGCTTGGCAAGCTGCTGAACCATCTTTCCAGCCCCACATATCCTGAATCTTTTGATTCAGGGTCTCACTCAGTAGCCCTGGCTGGCCTAGAATTCACTATATAGATCATGCTGGCTTAGAACTCATAGCGATCACCTTGCCTTTGCCTCCCAGGTACTGGGTCTAAAGGCATGCACCATCACACCCAACCTCT